GTAGAGCCATTTTTCATTTTGCGAGATTTTTCCACCTTTTCTGAATACCATTATTTTTGACTTTTCCAAGTTGACAGTAACATTCCATATACTACAATACTCTTCTAATTTATCTATCATTTTTTGTAGTACCTTCACGTCATTTGCCAGGATTACTATATCATCTGCATAAAGCAAAATTCTTATATTTAGGTCATCAATCTCGATACCGCCGCCGATGAACTCATGTAAATCGTCTAGGTATAGGGCAAATAGCAATGGGGACAGTAAACATCCTTGTTTTACTCCTGCTGACGTCGAAAATTTATCGGAGAGATCATGTCCTGTCCATACCATAAAGTTTGTATCATTATATACATTTTCTATACATCTTATTACCTTTGTTGACACACCAAGGGTATTTAATTTATATAGCATAGATTTTCTGCATACATTGTCGAATGCCGCTTTAAAATCTACGAAGAACGCATATGTTTTCTTATCTTCATGCCAGTTGATATGGACCATCGAAGTGAGACTGAATATATTATCATTCGTCGAGTAGTATTTTCTAAAACCGGACTGATATTCATTGATCTTTTTGTGTTTTTCCGCCCAATTGTACAACCTTTCCGTAATAATTCCCATCATAATTTTTGGCAAGCAGTTCATAAAAGAGATCCCTCGATAGTTCTGAGCTTGTGTAGTGTCTCCCTTTTTAAATATAGGGTAGATTATGCTGGTAGAAAATGTCGAGTCAACGTTTCCAGAGTTGAAAACTTTGTTGCATGAATTTACGATTTCCTGTAGCAATTGTTCTGGAGCATTTTTGTAGAACTCGTATGGAATACGATCTTCTCCTGGAGCTTTATTTACTTTACATTTTCTTAAGACGTTCTTTAGCTCTGTCATTGAAATAGGCTTGTCCAAATCATCATCTATGAAAAAGTTTGGAGCGTACTGGATATCTGGTGATGTTTGCGGTGGGTTGAGCAATTTTTCAAAATGCCGTTTGAAGTCGTTTGGTTCGACGAATATTCCTCTTTGATTATTTGTATCATTTCGGATTTCCTTAGCTATTTTCCACCAATCTTTGCTATCTTTCACATTATCAAGTTTTCTTTCTAAACTGCTGAAATATTGCAGTTTAGCCAATCGGCATGCATCTTTATATATACGATTACTTTCTAGGTATTTGCGTTTGTTCTCTATTGTAGAGTCTTTCCGGAATCTGTTAAGTTTCTTCATGGAAGTTTTTCTAGCATTGTAGCATCTTGTATTGAACCATTTTTCATTTTTCGCAAAATTAGGTGTTTTTTTGAAGAAGATTTTTGATGCATCTTTAATTAGATTCGTTACATCTGAAAAGGTAAAAGTACCTTGATTACCACTTATTTCGATGAGTTCCAATACTTTTTTCTGATAATCTGATGCTTTATTTGCATTCCACTTTAGCTTTGGCAGAAGTGTATTTAAGGTTTCTTTTTCGTTTTGTAGTTTGATATTTAATGATAATATTATTGGCATATGGTCAGACCAGGTTTTATTTTCGATTCGAAATTCATCAACATTTGAAAGAAGATTATGGGAGACTGCGCATATGTCATTCACTGACGCTCCAACTGTGCTCACAAATGTAAATTCTCCACATTCATCCCCTTTAGTCATGCCATTTGTTATCAGCAAACCATGATCATAGCAAAAGTCGATGAAATTCTTTCCTCTGGTATTTATTTCGACATCCTTGGACTTTCTTTCCTCCAAACCCGCATAAAAAGTTGATTTCTGGTCTTCCTCAATTTCGATCTGCATATTGCCAATTCTTATATTTAAGTCACTTGCAAAATGTAAAGAAAATATCTTCGACAAATTCCGTTTATATGAAAACCACTATTCGCAATTTTTATGCCCCACGCCACATGGTGGTAAGGGTATTATGTCTTGGTGCATTTGTTGGTAACAAGGAGAAGAAAGCGAGATAGCCCCATAGTTACTTTTGAGGATCTTCATAAAAGTCGAGTATGAATGTGAGTCGATTTATGCATGTCAGTCCGTCTGTCCGTCCCTCCGTCCGTGTTTGGCCCATGGACGAACCCTATTGAAATCGGTGATAATCGGATCAGTTTTAGATATAGCTCCCATTTATCTTCAACCGATTTCGGGTTAATTGTGCACCAAATGGCAAACATAAGTCCTACTGAGCTGAACTTTGTATATCTCACCGAATTCAGTCTAGAAGAAAGTGAAAATTTGGTGACAATCGGTTCAGATATAGCTATAGCTCCCACCTATATGTTTCATCCGATTTGGTTTTTAAGTCCCTTACATTCGTAATATGCATTCGACAACAATGATATTTGGTACCAGATATCTTACAGAGCTGGGAAATACCTCTGCCAAATTTTATCCAGATTGGATCAGATTTGGATATTTATGCACTAAATGGCCAATATTTGTCAAAATTTTCTAAATGTTGGTACATCTGATATAAATGTTGGATACATGGATATAGCTCCCATATATATCCTTAATCCGATTTAATGTTTATTGCGCAAATAATGGCTAATTTTGTGGAACTCGCCTCCTCGAAGTGATATCATGCACTCTATAGCAATGTTATTTTGTATAAAAGATTAAATTGTCTCCGTCAAATCAGTGAAAATCGATTCAGAATTGGATATGCTTCCTAAATATTAGATCCCTTTGAAGCCAAACTATAACTGCTCTAAAGTCAAATGTTGATAGGTGGTATGATCTACCTCAAATAATTTTTTTTGTTATGGGAGCCCTACTAAATGTGCATAGTGGTGTAAAAGGTATCATACAGTCGGCCCCGCCCGATTTTTGACTTTTCCTTACTGGTTTGTTATAGGCTGTAGTACGCATTAGGAACTTCAAATGCGAAATTTAAAACAAATCCTTTGAAAAATGTCGCTAATATCATCAAAATACCGAAAAAGGGGAGGTTACGTTATATGTGGGGTATACGAAGACCTGGGCTTGCATATACAAATTACTTTCGTAGGTGAAGTATCTATTATGAATTTCATAATTCTACCATGAATTTCATAATACATGTTAACCATGGTAGAAATACCATTCGCCTATTAAATTTTCCAAATTTTTTACCAGAGAACAAATCTGTAAGGCGAATTCAAATTCCAACAATTTTTTTGACGTATCAAATTGATGTCAACTTGTGTGAAAGGGTTACCTTGTGATTCTACCATGATGTTAACTATTTAAGTAGGCCTCGATTTCTATTTTCAAAATAAATATGTTAAAAAGTTATATACCTCAAATTGCGAAACTGAAAAAGAAATTATAAAAGAAAATAAACTAAATAAAAGATAAGTCAATATATAAGAAGATTAATTTGAATATTGGACTCATTACGAACACTCCCGGAAAAGGTGATACTGGTAAAAAAATTTAAAACTAGAGGACATTTCAAATTGGATCACAACGAAATTCAGAGATTGAAAAAAGGGTGGTGTCCAGCATTGGAGCTGCGCAACTTTGTCCGCAGTAAAAAGTGTAAGTTCAGTAATATAATTATCAAAGAGAACATTTAAAATAAATTAATTAAATTAAAACTTTTTGTATAATCTACAACATTGTTAAAACAAGAACTCTGAGGGAAAGTCATCTTTGACCAGATTTTTGAATAAACTTTGGATTCGAATAAAACTATAGGGTGAGATAAAAAAACTGCAAAAAAGTCAAACGCCATAATTTTTACATTTTTTTTAAATTTTATTGAATGAAACAAAAAATGTCGGGAATAACATCAAATTGTAGAATAAGTTTAGATATGTTCGAATTGGTCACCTTTGGCACGAATTATGGCCTTCAAACGACCAATTAAACCGTCACACGCTGCCCGAATGTTGCTCTGCGGTTTTTTGGCTCATTCCCGGCGAAGCGCTTGCTTGAGGTGATCGACACTTTTGTATTTTTTAGTGAAAACTTCGCTTTCCAAAACACTCCAGACACAATAGTCCAATGGATTGGCATCCGGAGATTTTTGTAGCCAGTGTACGCTGGAAATTATGCTAGAAACCTCATTTTGTAACTATTCTTGGTTAGTGCTGAGTGCGATTGTGCTGAGTCCTGTTGGAATGTCCAAAGTCTGTACAATGAATGTTTTCTTATCGGAGAAAACAGAATTCGGCAGTTCACCACTCTCGGCCAAGCGAAGCAACTCTTTAGATCTTTTGAGTCTATTTTCGCTGTCAGTTGTTGCACTTTTTTTAGTTTCAATGGCTTTACCCCGACCTAATTTTTCAATATTTGACGAATGGAATATTGCGATATGTTCAGCTCACGAGCCATTTTTCTGCCACTGCGATACGGGTTTCGATAAAGTCGCTTCCTTATTTCTCGAACCATTTCTGCTGATGTTGTTTTTTTCTTCCGTCCACTTCCTTAACGCCGGACTACGCTACCAGTATCACGGTAACGAACGATGCTACGAGACACCAAAGATTTATTCACATTTAAATGCTGGTGTGCTCTAACGATAGCCACTTGTAGTTTTCCAGCAAAATATAAGAAAATCACACTACCACGCTTGAATTCCATCACGAACAACTTTTTTTCTAGAAATTTCTCACCGAAATGCTTTTATACGCTTGTAATCAATATAGTGATCTATCACTGGAATAATTTTAACAGCTGTTGGACGAGTGACTTAGAAATGACAGCAGTCTGAAATTGGTTGCAGTTTTTTCATCTCAACCTATATCAACGCCTCCATAAGGTCGGACCACGAAGACTACTGTTGACAACAATTTGACAATGAATTTAGTATTTTTTAATACTATGATTTCACTCTTATTGAATTTCAAATCACAATACGGGTATATCTTTTGACGGTAAACTTTGTTGTCAGATTGGCTTACTGGCCGACCTTATACTGGTCATGGGATATATTGTTATTTCTATACAGTATAACTTTGTAAGCAGGCACCGATTTCTATTTTCAAAATAAAAAAGTTTCAAACTTCAAATTGGAAATATGTAAAATAAATTAGAGGAAAAAACTCGAAATCAAAAAAATATCGCTTTGAAATAAACTAAATATAAAATTAGTCCATCAATGTGTATAATGAATAGATTACGAAGATTCCTGGAAAAACTGATACTGGTGAAAATTATAGATCATTTCAATTAGATCACAACGGAATCCCAAGCTTCAAAAGTTATAATATCGAGCACTGGAACTGTGAAATTTTGTCGGCGTTACAAAGAGTAAGTCCACTAAAAGAGTTTTCAAAGAGAATGTTCAATGATTCATAAATAAATATTCATTTCATTAAAACTTTTTGTATAATCCACCATAATGCTAAAGCAAGAACTTTGAGGGAATGTCATTTTTGAGTACACTCTAAAATCACTTCCAAATTTCTTCTCATTCTTTGGAAAAATTGTCATTCGACAGACGGACGAACGGATGAACATCGCTAGATCGACTCCAAATGTCCTAAAACGGGTCTAAAACTGTTATTTCGATGAAGCACGTTTTGGCTGTATCAAATTACATATGGCTAAGGGTATAATAAAGAGGAACAATAAAATGGGGTCTATGCTTAAAATGGACCGATAAAGTCCATTACCTCAATGACAGTCATCATAAAATCAAAATTGTACAACATGACAGAACTCAACATTAAATAATGATGAGGAGGTCGATGTCTGGCGAATGTTTCTAGATATTGCAATGAAAAAAAGTCATAACCGCATCTATGGTGGAGGGTACAAAAATACAGTCAGGGAATACCACAGGGAGGTTTAATATATTTAATGGTTTTCTGTAGACCGCTGAATAAAACAGCCAGTATTTCCCATAAAATCAAACATTTTGAATCACTTCTGCCTAGAGAAACTTGAAATTGAAAGACCATATTCCAAAAAAAGCAAACAACTTTTCATGTGTTAGTCAAGCTGCAAAAGCGCTTTATTAATTCGGGCGATATAAAAAACTAAACTATTTCCCATTTGTAACAGATGGCGCCTTGGTATGGCAAACATTTAATGTTTTACGATCGATTACATCACATGAGATCCCAGCCGATCTTGACCACCAACCGACCGGCAAGCTTCTAACAACCAACTAACCCATCATCCAGCTATTAGCCAGTCATTTAACCACTAATTCACATTTTAGACATTGTCTTCGTTTACGATTGTTAACTGTGATTTTATGGTCCATGTGCTGTGCTGTGCTGTGTGATCATCATCGGACGGCGATCACAACGTCGCTGAAACAGAGCGAATTAAATCTTCTCGTTTATGAAATGCCATAATGGCGATCATAACTAAGCTACTCTCAGATGCATAAATGACTCAGGGTAGATGGATCGGATGGATAATGCGATTATAACTTGCATTTAATGAAAATAGTTCATATGCTAAGTTATGGCCGGCTTTATGGAAACAACGACTTGAGAATGGTTGATTAAATTACAATACGCATGTGCAGGCTACAAAAACTTCTTGCACAACAACAACTACACTTCAATTGGTAATATTTGTGTGAATGTTGCCACAATACGTTTTCTTGTTGTTTTTTGTTCAATTGCAATTTTTATTCTTGTGAGCTGTGTTGTTTTCTATTCCATAATCCTCCAACCAGCCTGTTCTACTGGACACACAATTGGGGCCATTGGACATGTGTAAGCAATGCATATGGCATGTTTCTCGTTATGAACATAATTGCCGTGTGTTTGTATGTTTGTCAATAACTGTTATGCGTTGCAGGTGCACCATGGCAAACGGCCTTAATGTCATAAATTTCCCCATCACACACATGACCATGGCAATGGCCATGTGACCATGAATAACATCAGAGCCAGAGTCCAGAGTCCCCCTCCATTACTTCCTGCATTCGACGCATAAAATGTAAATTAAGCAAACAGTGGCAGGCATTCGAGGGAGCAAATTGTTTGGCATCTTTTTAGCTAATGTTTGCTATTTGTCTAAAGATTTAACGACTAATATTGGTTTAGGGGACAAAAGAGGGCGTTTTGGGGAAAAAGTGGGATATGAATGAAAAGCATGTTTAGACTTTTGTGGTAGCAAAACTAAATGATATGGGTGAAACAGTTGAAACAAGATTCTATTGGACTATTTTCTAGGAGCAAAGAGACCGAAATGGAAGCCTTCGAAAGCACCATACCGCCGATTAGCATAAATGACAAGACCTTCTTGCGATAATCTTGGATGATGACAAATAGGCTTTCTGGTTGGTGGATCAGCTGCATCAAATCGGAGGGAAATATATATGGGTGCTATATCCAAATCTGAACCCCAATTTGGTACAGTCGTTTTTAAACGAATGTCAGTGTTAAGTTAGTGTTTCAATAAGTCTAGAAAGTCGACCAGTACGTTGATAATAAAAAATATAACCATATTAAGGGAGCATGCTAATATCGACTCCAAAAGTAACCTATAAGGATAATTTAAAATAGCTAGAGGCCTGTCTCAAAGGCATTATAACCGTATCACAGAGTCATGTAGGATATAAAAAAATAACTTCGAAGGAACAGCCTTCTACATTGAAATAGAGTTAAGTAACACTTGGATGAAGAATTCAACAAAAAGCTTTTGAGTCTATCCCATTTGATTTACACCCCAAAAAGATCTTAAGCCGTTGTCTGTCAAATAACAAAAGATAACCAGATTATGTCAGCATATGCGAGTAATTATATAGCATATACATATAATATAGGACACCATGTCGTATGTGTGCTGACAACACGTATACGCTCTACACCATTCTTAATTGTAACTCAGAAAATACCAATGACAATATCTTTCCAACGAATTGAGATAGACGGTTAAAATTGAAAAACATGTATAATTTGCCAGTAGGCTAGTTCGTAAATCGGCCATGTCGGCCCAAGTTCGTATAGACTCCATATAACAATAGCTTCCGATATTGGCTATTTTGACGTTTTTAGCGAATTTTTTTGCCGAAATTGTTTCAAATTTGAACCTTGAAGTGCTTAATGAGTTCAAAAGCCCATGACAGAATATTGCCAATGCAGATCCACGTCTTCGCATAGCCCACATATAACGGAACCTCCAAATATTCAGAATTTTGATATTTTTACGGCACTATTTACCGGAATTGTTTCAAGTTTCGTATTTGAATATTGTAGTGGTCTATGAAAAATATTACCTATGCAGATCTACTTATAGGCCCCAATATAAAGTTAAATCCCTAAATTCGGTATTTTTATGATTTTATCAGAATTTATAACAGATTTTTTTTATTTGCAAATTCATTTCAAATGGTGAAGAGTATTCAATGTTCGGCCCAGCCAAACTTACTGATTTATATGAAATGCAATTAGCAATTAAGAGTCAATGATTTCCTTAATACTGCACCATAATTTTACCTTTTTCCAAACAGATCAGCTGTAACTAAGTTTGGTAGATATACATATTTATAATACCCCTTATGTTATGTCGAAAAAGATATCCAAAAAGTGTGAAGTTTTGAACAAACAAAACTATCAAAAAATCTAAAATAAGTTACCGATATTCTTCCAACTATACGTTTTTCAGTTTTTCTGTCATCCTCAGGTAAAGGACAAAAATAAACCATATGGTACTCACAAAAACTATTAAAAGAAAATATAAATTTCTACTAAACTTGAACTCATTTATATCGAACATAAGTCAAACGCAGAGATCGGCAAAATCGACGCGGTCCGTTTTATACCTCTAAAACAAAGGGCGTACATTTGAAAATAATCGTAACTTTTAAAACTATGCACAGAAAAATAATTCTGACAGTAGTACATCTAGAGCGTGTGATGCATGAGCCCACTCTTTCAGGTACTTTCTCGCAAATTGTCATAATTCTCAAAAAAGAGAAATAAGCTGACTGAGCCTACCTTTTTTTTAACCTCCACCATGAGGAAGAGAAACCCTTAAAAAATAAAAATATTTGTGTCGAATATTGGGTCCATTTCCAATTTTTCCAATGAAAACGGTTAGTAAAAGTCTTCAAAATGCCGCAAAGTCGATGGTAACGATTTTTTGTTATAGTGGTTGTAACCTATTGCGAGATTTGAATATCCAATTTGAGACAATTTTGTTAAAAATGTGGTTAAAATCTAAAAAAATACCATATATTCGAAAGCACCATTTCCAATTTTTCCAATGAAATCTGTTAGTAAAAGTCTTCAAAATGCCATCGGGTAACGATTTTTTGTTGTAGTGGTGGTAACCTATTGCGAAATTTGAATATCCAATTTGAGACAATTCTGTTAAAAATGTGGTTAAAATCTAAAAAATACCAAATATTTGAAGGCACCTAGACCTATTCCATCAGACTTTTTCCATAAAAAACATAAGCCATTTTGTTACTACTCCACCGAAAGACTGAAATCATCGAATATCGAAAAACGTCAACCTGTGCCGAATTCTTAACAATTCCGTTAAAAAATGTGATTTAAATCATGAGAATATCGGGAGGTACCGTTATATTGAGGCTATACGAAAACGTGAACCTATATAGACAACGTTCTGACAAAGAGCATTTTAAACAATTCCGTTTAAAAAGCAAAGGTGGCTTCAATCCCAAAAATACAGAATATCGGGAGGAACCATTGTATGGCAGCTGTTTGAAATCGTGCGCCTCTAGGAACTCTATGTACCGAATTTTAAACAATTCGGTTTGAAACTGTGTTTGAAAACCGAGTATCGGGAAGTAAAATTATATGGGAGCTATATGAAAGCGTGGACCAAATATTGATATAAATATAGCAACGTGTCAGGTTTGGACTATATTGGCTACATCCTTCACTTTATATAAAATATGTGATAAATTTTAGAGAATTTTAAATTGTGACGGAGGTACCAGATATAGTCGACCGAAGTATTCCATTTTCATACTATATCTAATACAGATAAAACAAGTAAAAAAACATTAAGTTCGGCCGGGCCAAACTTTTAATACCCTCCACCTTAGGGTAAAGGAAACATTAGAAGAAATGTGGCAAAAACCATTAAAATGCCGAATATCGGGAGGTACCGTTATATGTGGGCTCTACCAAATCGTGGACCTACACATGCAAGGTTCCGCCAACGGAGCTAGAACCCATTATGACCTACAAATACCAATTTTCAGACAAATACGTGAAAAAAGGGGCAAAAATCATCAAAATACCGAATATTGTGAGCTACCGTTATATGGGGACTATACCAAAACGTGGACCTATACATACAATGTTTCGCCACACGAACTAGGACCCATTATGACTCACAAATGCCAATTTTTACACAAATCAGTGAAAAAATGTTGCAAAAACCATCAAAATACCGAATATCGGGAGGTACCGTTATATGGGGGCTATACCAAATCATGGACCCATACATGCAATGTTTCGCCACCGGAGCTGGAACTTATTATGACCAACAAATACCAATTTTTAGACAAATCCGTTAAAAACTGTGGCAAAAATAATCAAAATATCGAATATCGGGAGGTACCATTATTTGAAGGCTATACCAAAACGTGGACCTATACATGCTATGTTTTGCCACACATACAGGGACCCGTTATGACCTACAAATACCAATTTTCAGACAAATCCGTTAAATAATGTTGCATAAATCATCAAAATACCGAATATCGGGAGGTACCGTTATATGGGGACTATACCAGAACGTGGACCGATATATCTTATTTTCAATACCAACCATCCTAGACACAATACCAATTGCTCTGCTAAATTTTGGCGCTCTACGTCAAATAATGTGGGCTGTATCGTGATATCAACAGACAGACAGACAGACAGACAGACAGACAGATAGACGGACAGACGGACATCGTTAAATCGACTTAGAATTTTATGCTGATTATGAATTATAAATAATAAGATTTTTTCAAGCTTTAGGCCATTTTCGGATTTATTTTATTGATTACAATAATATGTTCCCAATATTTCGCAATTATCAAATTGCATCTTCAGGGGCAATATTTACATAAAATTGTCAGATTTACTTAACAGCTAATGTAGTTTTTACTACCATTGTCTGGTGTTGTTATTGCACTGATTGAATATATATACTTTATGGGGTCTACGACGAATATTTAAGGATGTTACAAACGGAATGACAAAGTTAATATACCCTCCTTTCCAAGGTGGAGGGTATAAAAATGATGTGGCAAAAATTACAAAAAAATCGAACGTTTATATCCAATTTTTTGGGAAATCATAAATTCCATATTGTTGTAAAAATAGATTACTTGTTATGAGAGGTAAAAATATTGACGCTTTGTAGGGGAGGTACCAGAAGAATTGGAACGATATAATCTTGTATTAGTAGAAGTAATGGTTATTATAATTGTTTTGAATCAAATGTTAATTTCACGTTTTATGCACTTCATAGATATTCAAAATTTTGAACTTTTGTGGGGGAGGTCCCAGAAGGAGTGGATTGATATATTCACACCAGACCTCGGGTTAATTAAAATATTGTGATGTGCGTAATTTGATAAGAGATATAATTATTCAAAATATTGCCCCTTTGTGGGGGAGGTACTTGATGGAGTGTACCGATATTATCCATTTTCGCACATGACCTAGCACTGATGCAAATTTTACGATTTGCAAATTTGGAGCAAAATCTTTCTGTACAGTAAAATATATTTTTTGAAATATTCGACCTTTTGTGAGGGAGGTACCAGAAGGAGTGGACCGATATTGTCCATCTCCCAACTCTATCCAAGTTTGAGGATAATATTACTAGTTATCGTGCGCACCAGCCAGCTAGACATACAGACGGACGGACCGAAGGACGGACATTGCTAGATCGACTCCAAATATCCTGAAACGGGGTTGGTCCAAAGAGACCTAGGGTCTAAAACCGTTATTTCGATGAAATGAACCACAGATATTCTTCAAACTGTGTCTATTCCAGCATTTGTGTCAACACCAAACATTGGAAAAAATAGTGAAATCTGGTACGCAAAGTATCAAAGAAATACAAAACTGGAAAAACCCTCTAAACGTATCCGCTTTCATAAAAACCTTCCACAACGTAACATTAAAATCAAATTTCAATCAATTGCGAAGATCGACAAAGTTGAACACCTCCTTCTAGTGGACCTTCGGTAGCCTTTAAATATTGTTGTTTCGATATGTCTTGAAGAGGACACTGTGTGGTATAAGTGCTGAAAATACTTATATTTCATAAAAATTCATATTTCATATTTCACATAAAAGATGGAGAATAATAAAAATATTTGTTATAGACTATATTTCGAATTGCTGTATAAAATTACGTTCAGATTGAACGATAAATCGATTTCTAAAGATATCATAACAATTAGAATGTTGATCAATAGTCAAACTCTTGGGAAGCACGGCAGATAAATTCTTAAAAAAATGTTCATGAGAATTTTCTTAGAAATTTCTCAGAAAATATTATAATAAAAACAGGTAAGCAAAGGCTATAGTCGTGCGAGGCCGACCATGTGATACCCTACAACACTACAATATGTTGGAAGATTTCGACATTGAAATAATGTCATAGAGGCCTGCCCAGATGTTACCATTATTTACGCACTCCGCCATGTTGTTATGTATTCGAAAAAAAATTCACAAAAACCATGGTCCATTTAAGTATAATCCAATAGTCATCCAATATGTTCGACTTCTTTCCTCTTTCAGGATTTTTTTTTTTTTGGTCCATTGGGGGTATAGAAAAATTTTAAAAATTTACAATTCAAAAAAAAATATATATAAAAAAATATGACAAAAATTGAAAAAAAATGTAACAAAAAATATTCACTTTTTTATTTGGCATTTTTTACGCGATTTTCTTTGGTGTTATCCTTTTCTGGCAAGAGACCATTCCGAATTGATGAGAATTGTGAAAATCAGTCCAGCGGTTCTTGACTTATCATCGATCTAACTTACATTCCCTTCCTTGATGTATGAGATTGTATATATTTTGCTATATATGTGAGATTTTGGATATGAGCATCAATGTAACGGTCAGAAGCTACATTTTCGTGTGTTTACGATTTCGCCAGGATAAAAAATATTCGCGGGTTAGCGGGAAATTTCGTATTTTTCACAAAAAACGTTATATAAATGTGGTCCGATGACCATCCAAATTAGTACGCTTCTGCCCAGTCCTAAACTCTAACTCCATGCACAATTTCGCGCCTATTGGTCTATAATTGTGGCCTGTAGAGCAACTGCAAAATCAAGTATTTTTCTGTTTTTGGTCCATTTCAACCCCTAAATATTTTGCGATCATTTCCAAAAGCAATAGGGTTCCATTCTGACCCTAACCCACCTCCATTTTCAATTTCGTGGGAATCGGGCCATAATTGCGACCTGTAGCTTGATTACAAATTAACATAGACAGACGAACATACATAACTAGATCGATTCAGCACGGCGAGATAAGAAGATCCATATATACTTTCCTCTGTGGGAACTAATATTTCGAGGTAATACCCCCAACACATAGTGTTGTAGGTTATAATAATTTAATTTGTAAACCTTTTAATACTTTTTAAATTTTTATGGTATATCTGACAATAAAATATACAATGGTAGATATCATTTCTGACAACTTTCTGCAACTTATCCTACCCTCTTTATATTGTACTATGGGTCCATGTAAAGAAATCTAGTGACAATGGAACACATTCGTTTGATTCTGTAATTGTGTACGAAGTTTTTTCAGATTATTAATTTTGAAATTAAATGAACTCTTTTTCCTTATTTTTTCAGGACCTTAAGCAATATTTGGTGAACAACGGAAAATTCTTGAAATTGCTTTTCTTCTCCAATCCCAAAAAAGAAAAATATTTCTACACCTCCAAGTTGGTGAGATAGAAAAAGAATAATTGAAACTAAAACTCATCGTCTCAGTCTGATTTAATAAGTACCCCCGAGTGCGTGTGTGTGTCATATATGAATGACTTCTACCACTGAGAGATTTATGCTGACACATCATGACTTCAAAATAGACTTCCATGGCAAAGAAAAAACGGCTGTTAAAGAAAATCCCAATAATTGTGCATTTGAACGCATTCACTGTAATTTGGCACATAGCAAGTTGGCCAGCAGCAGCACAAAGAAAAATCACCAGAAATGCCGCTAACCAAACAAACACACACACGCGCGCACACATGTACGCATGCAACAATTCCATCTAACCTTTGTAATCCATGGTGGCATGTATCCCACTGTGAATGACTTCTAAACAAAGCTAAGCGCGCAATCGACCAAATGGCCAAGCGGCAATTGGCAAAAGAGCATGAAACACCACGAAAATAAGCTCAGAACAATTTTAGAAGGTGTCAAGGTGCCAGAGTGGCTACATTCCACCCAAGTGGCAAGCAATGAAATGAGGAAAAATCAAAACAAAATTTAAGTGGGGAAAATTTTCGGGTAAGTTCGTCAAAGACGAATTGGAAATGCACTTTATTTTGGTGGCGCAAAGCATTAAACCGAACTATCAGAGCTCCATATTTGATATATTTTTTGGTGGAAATATCGTAATGGACAAATTTAGAGGGAGATTAAGGGATTTCATTTCCATTTTATAAGAGTTAGTATTATTCAAAATGTTTACCCTTAAAAATGTCAGTCAAATGGGTTACTTCCTCGTCAACCATACATAAATACAATGGAGGGTATATGAAATTTGTCATTCCGTTTGTAACACCTCGAAATATTTGTCGAAGAACCCAAAAAGTTTATATATTCCTGATCAGGAACAATTTATAAGGCATTATAGTCTACATGTTGAAATCACGATAGAGTCCACATTATTTAATTTAGAACAAGTACAAGTGTTTCCCAGGCTGATCGGTATCGAAAATGCGAAACATTGGTCCACGTTAAGGTGTAGCCCCCATATAACGGTACTTCCCGATTTTCGATATTTTGAAGGTTTCTGCCACAATTTCCAACCACAATAGCTGAAACTCTACCATTGGGGTTCTCGGTAGGTCTAAAAAAAATGTTTGATTCAGGTCCACTAATTGGTATATCTCCCATATAACGATACCTCCTGATTTTCGGTATTTTGAAGGTTTCTGCCACAATTTCCAACTAATAAGCTGAAATTTTACATTTGGCGTTTGACCAAAATTCCTCCCGAATTTTGGTATTTTTAAGATTTCTGCCACAATTTCCAAACAAATCAGCTGAAACATTTGGCCTTCTTGAAAGGTCTGTTCTCTCCTTGCGAAAGATGTTCGATTCAGAGCCACTTATTCAATTTGGGTCCTCTAAAAATATATATAAAACTCGAAGTTGGGTCTTTCAAAAATATGCATAATGGCTTATTTCTCATTCTTCAAAAATATCCGAAAAATGTGCATATGAAGTCTTAAGAAGTTGGAACGAATTTAGCATTTTTCAAAAAAAATGAAATCCGATAAAAATTCCTGTTAAAATCTTAAAAATACCTAATGCAGCCGTTATATTAGGTTCTATACGACGACGTGGATCTGCATAGGCAACTTTTGCCATAAACCATTAGAATATTCAAATGCGATATTTTAAAACAAATCGGTGAATAATGTCGCTAAAATCATCAAAATAAGGAATATCGGGAGGTACTATTATTTGGGGGCTATACGAAGACGTGGACCGGCACAGACAATTTTCTGTCATATGCTGTAGTATCCATTACGAACTTTAAATACCAAATTTGAAACATTTCCGGTGAAAAATGTCGCTTAAATCACCAAATTCCAAATATCGGGAGGTACCATTATATGAAGACATGGACCTGCACAAACAATTTTCTGCCCTAAGCTGTAGTATCCATTTCGAACTTCAAATACCAAATTTGAAACAATTCTGGTGAAAAATATCCCCAAAATCATTAAAATACCGAATATCGGGAGGTACCATTATATGAAGACGTGGACCTGCACAGATAATTTTCTGTCTTAGGCTGTAGTATCCATTACGAATTTCAAAAACCAAATTTGAAAAAATTCCGGTGAATAAATTCGCTAGAATCATCAAAATACTGAATATCGGGAGGTAACGTTATATAGGGGCTATTCGAAGACGTGGACCTGCACAGAAAATTTGCTGTCGTAGGCTGTATGTAGTATAAATTACGAACTTCAAATACCAAGTTTGAAACAATTCCGGTAAATAATGTCGCTAAAATCATCAAAATACCGAATGTCGGGAGGTACTAATATATGGGGGCTATACCAAAAACTGGCCCTACATGGCCCATTTTCATAATCAAAAGTCCTGCAGACATTATATATATTTAAATAAAATTTTATCATACGTATAGACGGGCAGACGGACAGACGTACAGACATCGCTGGGGTCTAAAATGTATATTTCGAGGTGTTACAAACGGAATGACAAACTTTGGTGAAGGGTATAAAAATCATCCATCAAAAAATTCTTTCAATTAAACCTCGTCCATCAAAAATAATCCGTCAAATATTTCTTTTTAAAATCCATGTTGGGTCTCAAAATATATCCTTCAAAGAAATACCATTGAAACTATATCCCTAAAAATCTTTTTTGGTTTCATCAAAAAAGGATGATTTCAGATTCGCATTAGAACCTTTATTAATATCCCAAAAAATCCATATATTTAAAAAGGGAAGTTTGATCCTTGATCCCAAAAATATCCTTACCAAAAACGTTCTTAAAAAATCCACGTTAAGTTCTTCAAAAATATCCTCAAATAGGCCGCTGGGGCCATTAAAATATCCTTTGTGTCCTTCAAAAAAAATGTTCAAAAATCCACTGTGGATACACCAAAAAACTATCCTTAAAAATCGAAGTTGGGCTCTTCCAAAATATCTAAAAGAGCATATGGAGTCCTTTAAAAATATTGTTTTAATACAAAAATGTCCTTCAACTAATTTCTTGACTGTCAAAAAAAGTCCGTTAAATACTTCCCTTTAAACCGCACGTTGCGTTTTTCAAAAATATCCTTCAAAAACCCTTTCGGTGCTTAAAATATCCTTTAAATCTGTCTTGTTTGGCTATAAAATGTTTATTACAACCCAGTTACAAATCGAATGCCAAATTTCGCATACCTCCCATCCCTGATGTAGCACAGCCCCCCAAAAATAATGATGAACATCGATCATGTTATCACAAACGACCAGAACACATTTTTCTGCTTCACTCTCCTTAAAATTGCAGCACATGCCTAGATGGACAGATAGAATGACTAGTTGCAGTGTTCGAAGTTGCTGGCTGCTGATGACGAGGACGATGATACATATCTAGGAAACAATATTTTCCTGACAGACAGATGGACAAATGCTTCAGTTGCTCGAAGAAAAATTTCTTCAATGCCGATGTATTTTGAACGCTAATTTGTAACAAAAAATTGAACTGAACCATTTCAAGGTGTTAACGATGCTGGCAACACACCACGTTGTTGCATTGCCTGATATTTCTTTGTTTTTGTTGTTTCATTCGTTTGACCATTTTTGGCCAAAAACTGATCTGCATACAATAGCCACAAATTACCATACGAGGGTTAACCACTTTAAATGTAAACGCAAGCCAACAGAAATAAAACAATTGAAAACACTAAATACGTAGCACTGAGAGTGTTGCCTAGGTCTCTGCTACAGAAAAGTGCGTCATAAATCATAAAATGCAAACATTAGTGGTCACAAACAGGTACCTGTTGTAAACATGTGGAGTGAAGCGGCACAGTGGTGAAAAGTTGGGAAATAGAGTTGGGCACTCTCAGGTTTGATAAAAAGCTGTGTTGATCTAGATCTGTTTGTCCGTCGGATACCTAAAAACGTATATATATTCCAAATAAGAATAGCGATGTCCGTCTGCTTGTTTGCTAAAATCACGATAAAGTTCACATTATTTATTCAAGAGTTTTGAAATCCGACACAAGGGTTTATATTATAAGCAGGTTGATTTTTATTGGAAATGGTGTATATGGGTCCACGATTAGGGATAGACCCAAAATAGACCCGATTTTCAGTATTTTGAAGGTTTCAGCCACAATTTCCAACGAAATTACCTGAAACTTGACAATTGAGTTTTTCAGTAGACCTGTGTTTGATTTACGTCTACTAATTGGTATAGCCCCAATGTGACGGTATTTTGAAGGGATCTGCTGCGATTTCTAACCGAATCAGCTGAAACTTAATATTGGGGCCCTGAAAGGAACAGATCTTTTAAGGACACCTCATTGCAAAAAATTTGCTGAAAATGTAGGTTTCACTATTTGGCTACAGAGGGTATACATCATTAGATACTTAAAAAACATTTCTAAAATGCGATATAAAAGTACAATTATCTTCTGAGTCGATTTATGGATGTCAGAGTTGATTTATGCATGTCAGTCTGTCAGTCCCACCGTCCATGTATTCTTATGAACAAATTGCGGGTCGCATTTATTATCCCGTATCAGATACTATATATTGAGATATGTTCAGATTTGGATATAGCTCCCATTTATATTTTGACCCGATATCAGGTTTATTGTGCACCAAATGGCTAATATTAGCCCAAATGGACGGAGTTTGGGCATATCCAACCGAATTCAGTCTAGAAGCATGTACATTGAAAACATATATATGTTTCATCTGATTTGGTGTTTAAGTCCTTCACATTCGTAATACGCATTCGACAACAATGGTATTTGGTACCGGTTATAAGGTACAGTCCAGAAATACCTCTGCCAAATTTTATCTATATCGGTTCTGATTTATAGATCTCATATATATCTTTAGCCGATTTCGGGTTAATTGTGCACAAACTGGCCAACATCTCTCAAAAAGTCCTGAATTTTTGTACATCCGACCGAATTCAGTCTAAAAGCAAATACAACAAATTTCCTCATATTCGTAATATGCATTCGACAACAATGATATTTTGTACCAAATATCTTATAAAGCTCGGAAATGCCTTTGCCAAATTTTATCGAGAACTAAGTAAAGATTTGGATAAAGCTCCTATATATTTTCTTAATCCGATTTCTGGTTTATCTTGAAAATAATGGCTAATATCAGCCCAAATGTAGTGAATTTCGGGACGTATGTTTCCATTTTGTGCAAATCGGCTCCGACATATATTTTTTAATATAATCCTTCTTCATGTGTTATCATACAGTCTATAGCAAACTATAAATTAAGCTCAACTAAATATGCCTAGTGGTGTAGGGTATCATAATCTGTCCCAAAGTCAATAGTCGACTTTTCCCTACTGGTTTTATTTGTATTAGATGAAGCATGAAAATTAAATACTTCAAGTGGACGGAAGGAAATTGCAACATCAGCAGAAATATTTCGAAAAGTAAAGAAGCGACTTGATCGAAACCAAGCAGTTTGTAAACAAATTCGTTTCCAGCAGTTTGTAAACAAACAAAATGATCGTGTTTACTTGTTAAAGAGGTCAGCTGAAAATATACACCTTCG